TATGTCTATCATCCCATACGAAAAGTATGTCTTCCAACACAACACCTCTGAACACCTCTCTTGACACTAGGTATTTTCACCCAACAGTGACCTCTAGTTAATTTTTGCCCTGCCTCTTCCTCACATTGGCTTGTAGTGTGGAAACGCTGTGGCAGGCAGAAGTACCTGTCTTGTTCTGTGGGTATTCCACCACGGCGTATGAACCACCTCCTATTTGTTGCTCTGTTTATAGAAAGGGAGGTTTATTTACTGTCACGCACATGCAAATAGCACCAAGGGCCAAAAACAAAATCAAAAATAGTCTAAGTTACAATGCAATCGCATTGCATCCCTCACTGATCCTTCTCATGAGTACCTGGTGCAGTGCACACGGTCCTTTAGGCCATCAATCCCGCAAAGCACTTAAGCACTCCCCAACTTTAAGCATATGATTAGTCCCATCAATGTCTATCACAAATAATATGCTTCCTCTCACTGCCTCTGCAGTGGATAGGGGAGAGGAGAGATCAGATTTTACCAGATCCATGTATATTTGGAATAATAGGTAAAATAGTATCTTATGTCCACATGTTGCGCAGTTTTCTATCATTGATAAACTCTTTAATTCCTAGAAACAGTTAATTAGGCAATAAGCATATTCCTCTCTGAGAACTAGATGCTCGCGAGGCCTGAGGTTTTAAACCTCCTTCAGTCAGTCTTGTACAAGAAATACAGCGATTTTTAATTTAATGGGAAAACGCCTAAGTAGATTTTCCTTAAAGTTTCACATATGAGAAGTACGTGTCATTGCTCTTTTGGAGGGAAGGACTTCTAAACACCTGCAACTAAAGTTTTCAAAACAAAGAGCCATGCGGAAACATAAGCAGAGTGGTTTCAGCGTCATTTCCCCGGGCATCAGCAGTAAAGCAAATTGTGAACATTCAGATAACTAAAAGTTTTGCATTAATGTATCATGACTCCTGTAAATTTCTCCTAGGAATAAGCATGTTTTCAGATTAAGAACTGGTAATTTATCTCTACTGGCTGCTCCAGTGTTGTTGCTTCAGCTACACCCCTACCCTGAGGATCACAACAGGGGGTGATTGCCTGCATCTGACAGCTCCCCTCAAATAACTAAAAAAAACCAACAACAAACAAACAGAAAAGGGGGCGGGGAAAGAGAAAAAGGAATACAATTGCTAAAACACGGGCTGTACTCAGAAATTGCTTTTTCTCCCAAGCAATATACATTGGAATCTCAAGTAAATGGAGTGTATAATTCTTTGTGAAATGGACACAGAGCTAACACAGAAGCAAATACTCAGAAACACAAAACGGCACATGCACACATAGGCATATATCTGTGTCTGTGTTTTACTCAGACACACACAGAAACTGTGATTCCTTTTATCCAGTTAATTGTATGTCTTTCCCTAACATCTTACTTTCTGTACTTTCAAAGCCTTATTTTTTAATTAAAAACACTTAATTTTTTAATTTTTTTTTTAACGACAAAGCCACAGCAGACTTGTGGTAGGCTGCTGGAGTGCAATTACCCAATTCCACAGCACCAGTCCTTTTTCTTTTTGGATGGTAGTCACAGACTCCAGATGCCAATGTACTGAGGCTAATTTTTTCCATCAGCAACATCTAGCTATTTGGCAGGCTGCTCTAGCATTTTTGCTGGCTGCCTCACAGCGGTTAAATGGCAGTGCTCTCCATATATTGCCTGGGAAACTGATTTACCTGGGTGGTATTTTAATCAATGTTTTGCCTTACCCATACATTTTATGCAACAGCTTCCTACTAATAAACATGCCTGTGAATTATCTTCTCATTAGATTTCCACAAAGATGTATTTTTATTTGTAGTCAGAGTCCTGTGCTTAAATGTTCTTTTGCTATTCACAGGCTTCTGTGGTCACAAATCCAGGGTACAAGGATTCCTGCAGCCCTAGGTTGAAAGGCAGTGGATACCATGCAAATAATTCTCCTCAATTCACCAGCCAAACTGAGAGAGAGAGAGAGGAAACGGTTTCAGACTGATCCCAATTTCAAATTCCATTTGTTTGTTTCATCAGCAGAATACTTCCCTTCTCAGTGTTATTTCCAGTTGACTAAAATGTTCTATATGATTCAAAACTTTAGAACAAACTAATTTCCAGGTGAAAAACTAATAAAAATCTAATTTTTTCTAATTTGCTTAGCAAATGTTGAAAAAAGTGTTCTTTTTGTTTTTCTTTTTTTTTCCTGACCAGAAGCGTTCATGAAATTTTATATGAGTTTACAAGTAAATTTACTTGCCTTGAAGCTTCATTTTCTATCTAAAACAGGTCATTAACTTCATATTATACCATAAAGCTGATATAAAAAGAAAAGATTGGTGCTAACTTCATATATATATGTAAACACACATATATACATATACATATATGTATGCTATTAGGTGCCCAACACCCATAGTTTACTTGAAAATATATAATGCCTAAGCTGACTGACATAAAATTGGACCTCAGTAAAGGCAAGTAGAGGGCACGGTTCCATCGAGACAGGGGGAAGGCTGCAAGGAGAGTCAAGTCTCAGTGCCCACGTGGCACTAGATGAACGGGACAGACCTGTACCTAGGGTTGCTTAGGTTAGATACCAAGAAAAAAGTTCTCACAACATAGCTCGTTAAACGCTGTCCCAAGCCTGCCTGTGTAGGATGGAGATACTCAAGATCAGACCTGAGAAGGGCCTGTTGGAAAAGGTTTGGGTATGGCTGATGCTGCAGGACGACAGGGAGAGCATCTGGGTGGTCCATGAGCCCACACTCCACTCCCAGCTCCGTGAGCCTGGGACTCCAGGCTTGCTCTTCTGGCTGTCCTCACCTCTTTCTTTCACCGGAATTTGCCTCCCTTGCAAGTGAGAGACGACAGGCCATTGCTTACATCCCCTACAATCAAAACATCAGGCGCTTTCCAGGGAATGACGAACGGTAGTCTCTCCTCGCAGGAAGCCAACGATGTGCTGCTGTTCAGCAGAAATGCTGGACGTCTTTCCCTGTGAGCTGAGTCATGATGATTAAGCCTTCTGCTGGTTTGTATATTAAACCTTCGCATTTTAATTAGGGGTTCAGGAGGAGGTTTGTTTTCTTTGGAAGGGGAAGGATGTCATTTTCATTTTTTCCCCTCGGCGCTGCCTCCTTTCGAGAAAGTCCCCCCATGGAGCTGAAGCGTGGATAATTTGCTTTTGCGTCAGGAAAAGCATTGTCTATGGAGCGTGTACTCCAGAGGACAAAGCGTCTCTTGGCTGCAGGGTGCGTGCTTCAGGGCAGGCGGATAGCCATGGGGCAGCAGGCGGCTCTCCCCACCACCCGTGATGGGAAGTGCTGCCCTTTTGACTGCCTGTGCACTGCTCCGAGCAAACAGGAGGTCTCCAAACTGTCCCTGCAGAAGCAGGTATCTCTGTGCATCTGTGCCGTGAGGGTGCACAAAGTGTCAGGGAAAAGCATCAGTGACCTGGTGTTAACGTGCACTCACCCCTCCGCGTCCCTCCAGAGCAATGGCACTGCTGGGTTGGCTTTATGCTCTGTGATGGGCTTTTTCCTTATGAGAAACAGGTTCTTCATGCCGGGACTTTTCCTCCTGTGCATTTTTTCTGCAGTCCCAGCTGGTTTCAGTGCTGTCAGAGCCTTCACAAAAGCTGTGCCTGCCTCCCCTGGTGGGGGTGACAAGCCACACGAATGACCACAAGAACATTTTGTCTCATTCCCGTGCCTGGAGCCTTTCTCCGCCCCACCCCAAACCACAGCCTTACGCAGAGCTGGAGAATGGACGTGAAGCATTAAAACACATTTTGCTCTGTGCCAGTGAAAAAAAGTAACAAGCAATCATTTTTTTGTAGAAAGTAGCAAACAATCATTTTTTTTGTAGGACTGAGTGCATCAGGATGACAAGAAATACCTCCTGAGCTTTCTCTTAAGCAAGATTTCATATCCATCCCCAACATGGTAGCGTACGATGTCCATCTCCTCACCAACGTACCATAGTAGGAAATAAGCTGATGACTGGAACAATCCGTAATTTTTATCTTAAATTAATGGAGGGCAGGTCCTCCTTAGGATGAATTGAAAAGTTTCCCTCTTGCCTTCACCGGTGATTTAATTTAATGTGCTGGACTGTGCCCGAGTGTTGCCAAACCACCTGCAGGTTGGTGCCTCCTTGCTGCAGCTGGAGCCACTGGGGAAGAGCTGGCAGTGCCAGGGCTCCCACTGGAAAACCAGGACAGCTGGTCCCTCCCTTTATCAGTTTCACAAGGAGCCTGCCACCAGCTTTAGGCACCTACATGCTCCTGTAAATCTGGCTCCACTGCCAAATACAGTGGGCTGAAAACCGCATCATTTCTTCCTTAACAGCAGAACTTAAGAAACCTCATCCCTGTGTCAAATGTGATATTGCAAAATTCTGTATCGTTTATGAGGAATTATATATCACTCACAGCCTGACCTCCAGGGCTACTTAGCAATATCAATTTCCATTTAACTCAGGTGGGTCACCTCATTCTCCAATGCCTTTGGTGCAGTTATATTGTCTTACAAAAGATAAATTTACAGATGGAGACCCAAGGGTTAAATGGTGTAGGGTATGAGGCCAAGATAAACCAACTGAGGCCTAAAGAAGTCATGGTTTGATGTCAGCTATTACCTCGCGCTGGCATTCTTGGGTTATTCAGAATGTAAGCAAGCTGCACACGCATGCTCTGTTGATAATGCTATTTGTCCCACGAAGTGCTTCTCCTTGGCCAGTGACAATTCAGATCCTGGGACATAAATCCCAATGCTATTTTATCACCGAGTGCTGCCACGCAGAAGATAAAACTCGTTACTCTCCCCGTTTTGCTGTCAGCCCTTTCTCCCCCAGGAGCTTGTCACATGCCATTCACAGATTACACAGCTTTCATCCACCCAGCAGTGGACGCCTGCCTGCCGTGATTTCGCACGCTCACGGCTGTAGGTCACAGGGAAGACTCAACGCCATTCACCCCGCTGATGCAGCCGACTGTTGCCCCGTTGCAAAGCCCGCTGGCGGGCCGCCAGGAATAGGAAGATCCAGCGCTTACAGTGAGCAGCAACACCGACATTGCGATGCTATTGTGTAATTTTCAAACTTGAGGCTGCAGCTTCTCATCTCCTTAGCCAGTAACAATTTGACAACTTCGTGCCTTCGTACCAGCTGGGCTCCAACACCACAGGGCTTCACCTTTCCAAGAGCGGCAGCAGGGGAAAGGAAATACGAAGAAATCGGAGAGAGCAGTGTGACAGGCGGAGGGCTTTGCTCAAGGGTGGCAGCACCTCATCCTAATGCCATTCACCCCGCTGATGCAGCCGACTGTTGCCCCGTTGCAAAGCCCGCTGGCGATAGGCTGCAGCTTCCCAGATTCCTGTAAGATCAGGCTCCGAAAAGGAGAGACCAGATGAAGATCTGTAAGTGAGGGAGAGAAATCAATTACCATGATTGATGGGTTGTAGCAGTTAGAGGTTAAGGAAAGAAAAACAGCCAGCGAGCTCTCCTACAGCACGCAGCAATTGTACATGTGAAGCAGCTGTAGTTCCCCTTTGGGAGGTGTTTCCAGCCATGTGGAGCACCCATGGCCAGCAGAGCCAATGTCCACCACCAGCCAAGCACGGTGCCAGGAGCAGTAACGAGGACAAGCTCAGGAGCATCTCCTGGCCAACTCGCAAGCTTCTGAAAATACGGCCTTGAAGAGATGGCACTGGTTTTCATCTACTTGCATGGATTGAAGCTTAGAAAGTAGCCATCCATCAGCAAGGAAAAGCAGTGGTGAAGAAAAGATTTTTTTTCCCCTTTGATAAATCTGCTGATTTTCTAAAGAATTTTTTTTCATTATTTTTATAAACAAAAGTGGGCAAAATTAAAAAATAATAGCACTGGGTATATCACACCTTAGATGTTCAACATGAGAGGCTCTGACAGTGTCAGGTCTTCAGAAAGCATCAAGCAGTAACCTTCTGAAAAAGAATCCTTTCTAAAGTTATTCGGTATAGTTATCCAAGAAATTTGACCCCTAAAATAACAGTTTATTTTTAAAAATGTTTCTATAACCTGGGAATCATTCAACGATAATTTTGACATAGCAATTAATTAACCAATCAAATTCTGCTGGATATTTGTTCATATAGTCATTGATGAGACCATTACTTTCTTACCTCTTATTAAGCTAATGTTAATATTCAATTGCTTGCATAAAAGAGGTTTAACTACTGTTTTAGGTTTAAAATAGTTTGGTTTTATATTCAAAAGCCCTGCTTATCTCCTGTACTTTCTGTCCTGCAGAAGATTTGAAACACAGCACTTTTTCAATATCAAGGAAAATACTGTATCTGAGGTGGTTTCTCAGTGCTCAGTAAGAAAACCAGGCCTTGCCAGATATGAATAGTGGCCATGTGTTAGATGATGGAGATTCAATGTGCTCGTTTAATTTGCAATCATACACAAACTTAACAGTAAACAATCTCAGCAAATAATGATCAAGTGATGTAGAGCATTTTTTACTAGGGACAACGAGTATGGAGGTCAAGATGAATACATTGCTTCAATTTCACGGACAATGTGAATTAGAAACAGGCTGCATACATTCTGTTTTAACTTGGAGAATAAAATATTTTCATTGTCTAAAAACTAGATTTATTTTCAATAACACCCAAAAGCTATTTTTCTTCCTCCTAGTGATTTTCCCAAAATTTTCACATGTAGGGAGTAGCTGTCTTAAATATGGCCAATTAATTTTGTTACTTAGCTGGCTGTGAGACAGCAAACAATAACTTTCTTGCTATTAATTGATAGCTGGAGAAAAGATGCAATGGATCACCTCAGACAGCTCAGATCAATCTTTTCGTGTTTAACATTTGTTTTGAAAACACAACTTTGCAAGTGATTGATGCGAGGAAAATTGGCTACAGTCTCTTTTCTGCCATATTGGCTAGAAATGTCTGTATTTAACACCTAACAGACTAATTTCAACGTTCTGTGGCTTCCTCAGGCGTGTTTCTCCTATGTACCTGTCCCCGCCCCTATCTGAAGGTGCCTAAAGGACACTACAGCGAGAGTGACAGTTCATGGTATTTTCAGAGGTAAGAAAGAAGTAGGTGAAAGCCCCACTTCCAGTCCTGCTGTCACATCTGACAGCTGAGTGACTTCAAGCCACTTCTCCTTGTCTCCCTGCCCTTGCCTCTCCTGCAGGATAGAGCAAGGAGCACCACCATGCCCCTTGCTCAATGACTGCCTAGCGCCAGCCCAAGGAGCCTCGCTCGGCCCCTCTGTGCCCAGCACTAAGCACTTACAACAGCAGATTGCAAGAGAGCGCAAAAAAAGATGCAAAATCCACCGAGATGAGCCAAAGCAGCCCAAGCCCGCAGAGTAAAAACCACATTCTTAGAATAAGAAAGAAAAGGCTGCAGCATAAGTACTCCCACAGATGTAAAACGTGCATGGGAAAGAATACCACAGCTCAGTAAAGCAAGGGGAGAAAAGCGCACTGCGAAGAGCACAGGAGCAGCGGTGAAGGGGTGCCCTGAAAGATAAACAAGCAGGAGGATGGGAAGCAAACCCTGGAAAAAGAGAAAAAAGACAAAGAACAGATGGTGGGTGAGTAAATAAAGCCAGAAACCTAGCAAGGATTATAAAACATTTTTATATAAACATCAGTAGAGCAAAGAGCCCATAAGACTGGTAAAATATTATTTATTAACTCACAGTCTGTGCCTTTTATGGTGCCCCCCTCATTGGCAGGTGTATGAGCCCAGTTCCCGCGGAGAAAATTCACTCTTGAAGTGCACTGCTGCGTCTGGAGGGAGGTGTTTTGTAGTTGTTTTAACGTGGATTTTTGCCTACATCCACAGGCTGTGATTTTGCTCAAAAGCCCCCCAAATGCTCCAGGGAAAGGAACTGCCGAAGACCATTCAATTTGCAGCCAGGAGACTCTCTCCCAAGCCTCTGTAAAAAAAGGGTGTTTTCCCAGTTCTTCAGGGAGGATGACTGTGGATGTCACACGTGGGACATTTAAGTTAGAGGACTGAATTTCTTCGGGAAAACAAACATTTGGGAAAAGCTTGAGCTCTTTGAAATTGGAAAATATTCTTGGTCTGGATAAAACCAGAGGAAACAGTCCATCCAGTATGCCAAATATCTCTACAACAGAGATGATGTGCTAATAACTACTTCACCTAATAGCTATTATTTATGAAACTGCAAAAATGTGTTATTTTTACTGAAGCAACAAAAATGAGACGCATGGAAGGATGATACATGCTGGTGCCTCCATATAGGGGCATGGAGACAGACACTTACCCTGCAGTACAAGCTCTGTGTTAGGCCATGGGCAGAGGGTGAAGCTAAATCAGTTTATTTAGTGTGACTGACCCTGTGGTCAGTTTGAAGGCTAGGGTCAATGAGAAATTATAACTGGTGAGTTAGACTGAGAGAGCTAGCCCAAGAATTATGTTTACTGACTGCACTGGATCCTACAAAGGCTATTTATTACCTCTTAACTAACTAATTAAACTTACTACCGATGGCATGACCAACCCCTGCAGTGCCTTTTGCTGTTGCTTGGACCTGCCGTTCCCCTTGAAATACTAGAGCAGCTGTCAAAAAACAGTGAGTCTACTGCTGTTGGCAATTGTGCTTGGTTGTGCTTTATGTGCTGTGGTTATCTTGCGCTATTTGTGTGTTATGTTGTTATGGGTGTCTTTCTGTGGTACCCCTCTTGCTTGCAATCATTGCAGAAACCCATTATGAATGTGTTGTGTCCTGAGACAACAAATCACAGTGGTTTGTTGTTGTTGGGTTTAACCTTTATCCGTTCATAGTTGCCTTGCGCCAGTTTCTCTGGCCTCAGTTGCCAAAGCTACAGGAACTCTAGCTCTCAGTTTTCTGTTTAAAAAATACACCTGAGAAGCAAGGTTTTGTTATTGCTGTCCTAACATTTCTATATGGATTAGATGTGTATAGATAGATAGATAGATGGCTGTGCAGTTTTCTTCAGGAGCCATTATATTGCTTACTAACATTTTCCCCCGTGCAGTGGATTGAGCACAACAGAGGTTAATAGTTACCTATCCAAAACTGCACTTTGTGGCAAACTGGCTAAAATCATGCCTCCTGCCTGAAAAGTGACATGTGAAGCATTGTACGAGTACAATAAAACCCCAAAGGCTAAATATGAAGTTGATAATATTTAATGATAAAAGATGTCAAGTCATGTCTGACTAAATTAGATGCACCCTATTTCCGTTCAGCTATAGCCCCCCTAGCAGGGGAACTATGCTAGGGGACTATCGCAGGGGACCGACAATACCTGTTTAAAATGAGAACATAGTTTTTGCGGTAAATGTAAACTAACTGAAAGGAACTTCATTCACCTCTGCCCCCTCTGAGGGGGCAGGGAGTTTTTTTGGCCACCGACATTAACTCTTTCATTTGCCCGGGTACATATTCTTGGCATGTGTGGTCAGCTTTATTGGTTTCATCTATTCTTTTAAGGAAAGAATGAAATGTCTTTCCTCGATGTTACACTTTTCAATTGACCCAAACCTACGATTTTGAATATGCTTTCCTCTATGCCCAAGGAATCACCCATCAGGCATCCTAAGGAAGTCCTGCGTGGGGCAGGTGGGAGGTGCAGTCCTGGTTAGCCTCGCTAACAGCCTCAGCGACTTTCTAAAGCATCTCAACCCCGTGCCATGACCGGCCACCACAGACTATACTTCCTCAGAGACAGGACATTTTTGCAAGGTTTCTTACATCAAGCTGATGTGTACAATTCCTAGTTCTTTTCCTCAAATGCTGTAGAAAATCCTTCTGCAAGTACCAAATCTCTTCCAGGTTTGCATTCAATTTGCAAATGCTGTACACATCTGTGTGTTTGTCATCTGGAGGTGAGGGGAAGGCATTGCAAAGGCCCCTTTTGGCAATGTCACGATGTTGTTTGTGCCAGTTAACATGGGCTTCCCACAAATAAAGACAGTAAACCTTTAGCACCATAGCCACAACTGCCTTCTTTCTTTAAATTTTTTGACTGTAAAACACTTTAAAGTGTTTGTTAGTGTCTGCAGTGCATAA